ATCCTTCTCAAACCCCCCACCAATCGTATTATTCGTCTTGAGATCCTGAAAGACACAACGGGAAAGAGAAAAAGTAACCGAGCAATTTAAATTTGATATGATTTTGTGAACTGACAATAAATTGAATGAAAATTGAGGGATATATAAATCTGATGAAAAAGTGAGACCCGAAGTGCGGAAGGTACCAATTCCATGAACAGGTGATTTGGTACCATTCGCTATAGTAACAACCAATGGTGAGAGAACATAAGAAATATCAGAAAGAAGAGATGGGTTACCTGTCATGTGATTGGATGCCCCTGAATCAATGATTCAAGGTGTAGAAGATTGTTAGAATATATAATGTATATAGGTAAATTTGGGAATATCTCCTATAAGGGGTATGCTGGTCATTTTGTTGTAATGTGAAATAGTTCTCTATATATATATATATAGCAGTGAGAGGTCGATTGTTCTCTCACAGAAAATACCCAAAATCTCTCTATTACAAAGTGAACATGGTATCAAAGCAGGATGATCCTCATCTTCAGCTGATTGCTGTTTCATCCCAATTAATAGGTATATAGAGAGTATAATACATCGTATACAAGTTGTTAACCATACATCGTTCTAATCGTCATCTGGAAGATACTTCACAGTATATACCCATCGACAACCAACAGGTTTGGCAACTAGAGGTAATGGAACAAGATCCCATGTGCCATTCTGATGCAAGGCATCCATTTCATCTTGTATTGCTTTCCTCTAGCCCGGATCAGACAAAGCAGCCTGCACAGTCTTAGGAACAAATGTGGTAGACAACCGAGATGAAAAACATGAGAAGTATAGTGATAAAGGAATTATTCATCAAATTTCATGTGTTTATACTCCTCAACAAAATGAAGTTGCAGAACTTAAGAATCGACACCTATTAGAAGTAACTCATGCTCTTTTGTTTCACATGCGTATGCCTAAACGTTTCTAGGGTGATGCTATTCTTACTGCCTTTCATCTTATTAACCGTATGACGTCCTCTGTATTAGATGGCAAATCTCCTCATTCTATTTTATTTCCCGATTTCTTCCTCGTTTTCTCTTACTCCCAAAGTTTTTGGATGTGTATGTTATGTCCACAATCTTGGTCCTAATTTTGATAAACTAGACCCACGTGCCACTAAGTGTGTATTTCTTGGGTACTCTCGTTCTCATAAAGGTTATCGCGGTCCTGTTTCTTGGCGATACTTTATTAGCGTTGATGTAACTTTTTGTGAGTCCACCCCATATTTTTCCAATACTGATTCACTTCTTTATATCACTCCTGAGTCGCCTCTTCCTGAGGTTCCTCTTCTTTCACTTTCTCTTCAACCTAGCTCTCCTCTGACGACTGCCCCGTTACAGGTCTACACTCGAAGACCAAAGCTGCCTGTTGTCATGCCTCCTTAGTCATCTTTAGAGTCTTTGGATCCAACACCAGCTGTTGTGTCTGATTCCTTACCTATTGCACTTCGTAAAGGTACTCGATTTTGTGTCACTAATCATCCCATTGCCCATTATGTCTCTTATAATTCCTTATCGCCATACTTCTCATGTTTTTCATCTTGGTTGTCTACCACATTTGTTCCTAAGACTGTGCAAGCTGCTTTGTCTGATCTAGGCTGGAGGAAAGCAATGCAAGATGAAATGGATGCCTTGCATCAGAATGGCACGTGGGATATTGTTCCATTACCTCCATGTGCCAAACCTGTTGGTTGTTGATGGGTACTGTGAAGTATCTTCCAGATGGTTCCGTTGAGCGTTTAAAACCACGTCTTGTTGCCAAAGGTTATGCCCAAATTTATGGTGTTGACTATGATGAGACGTTTGCCCCCGTTGCTAAGATTTCTTCTGTTCGTGTTTTGATTTCTCTTGTTGCTAATCAAAATTGGCCTCTGTTTCAGTTAGACGTTAAAAATGTTTTTTTTGCATGGTGACTTAATAGAAGAGGTTTATATGGAGCAACCACCTGGGTTTGTTGCTCAGTAGGAGTATCGTCACAGTGTTTGTCACTTAAAGAAGGCCTTGTATGGGTTGAAACAATCACCAAGGGCATGGTTTGGAAAATTCTCTGAGGTAGCATTAAAATATGGTCTCCGTCGGTGTCAAACAGATCATTCAGTATTTCATCAACATACTGAGGCAGGTTTTATATTTTTGGTTGTATATGTGGATCACATCGTCATCACTGGTGATAACAGTTGTTGCAACAATGTTTTCATACTAAGGATTTGGGCACACTAAGATATTTTTGGGAATTGAAGTTGCTCGATCTAAGCGAGGAATAAGCTTCTCTAAGAGGAAATACGTGTTAGACTTACTCGAGGAAATAGGTTTGTTAGGTGGTGGTCCCGTTGATGTTCTTATGGATCCGAATCATAAACTTGTGTCTGATGAGGGAGATCCATTTGATGATCCGGGTAGGTACCGTCGACTAGTTGGTAAGTTAATTTACCTCATCATTACTCGACCTGATATCTCCTATGCAGTGAGTGTTGTGAGTCAGTTCATGGCAGCCCCTAGGGTATCACACTAGCATGGTGTTCTTCGGATTATTCGATACCTCAAGCAAGCACCAGGACTTGGATTGTTAAATCAAATGGCCATCTTAGGGTGGAAGGTTTTACAGATGCTGATTGAGCTAGCTCCCCTTCGGATGGAAAATCCACTACAGGGTATTGCACCTTCTTTGGAGGTAATCTAGTTACATGGAAGAGTAAAAAGCAGACAGTGGTAGTTCGATCCAGTGCAAAGCTGAGTACAGGGCGATGGCCCACACTTCTAGTGAGTTAACATGGCTACAACATTTTCTTGAAGAACTTGGCTTGACATTCAAGACTCCTCGTTGTTTTGTGATAACCAAGCAACTATCCACATTGCATCCAATCCAGTATTTCATGAGAGAACCAAGCATATTGAAGTTGATTGTCATTTTATTCGAGATAAGATATTGAGTGGAGACATCTCTACACCATTCGTTAAATCTGACGATCAACTTGCTGATATGTTTACAAAAGCTCTAAGTCATAGTCGGTTGAAGTTCATTTGTTCCAAGCTGGGATTATATGATATGTATTCACCAGCTTGAGGAGGAGTGTTAGAATATATAATGTATATAGGTATATTTGGGAATATCTCTTATAAGGGGTATGCTGGTCATTTTGTTGTAATGTGAAATAGTTCTATATATATATATAGCAGTGGAGAGGAGGAGGGCTGATTTGTACGCTCAGTGTTCACTCTATCAAACCCCTACCCATAAACTCTCTCGTGAGGCTACATCTCTCTCCTCACAACTCTAAACCCACAACCTAGTATCCATTTATAGAGTTCAAAACTCAATTCAGTCTTGGAGAAGAATACAATTCATTGGAGCCCAAGACTTTGTCTAACAAAAATACCTAATAAAATACAGCTCTAAAATAAAAACCTAATTAGAATAGAGTTTGAGAGACAATACATAACATAGATGGGCTTATTCAATTCTTAAAAATAGTTGCACTCCAACTAAAGAATAAATAAAAGCATCAAGTGTTAAATTACAAGTATACCCCTCTATGCATAATTAGGACATTGGACAAGTAAAGTCATCAATCGAATCACTAATTAATCCTTTAATATTGACTTTTTTTTATTAATCCTGATTTATCACATAAAACATTTTTATTGAGAAAATAATATATTTAATAATATATATATAATAAAACATTTCATCATAATAACCGGTGCCGGATTTCGTGATCAAATGATCAAGTCAAGAATAAATTATCACCTTGAGAATAAATATTCTCATGCCTATAATTAATGATTACTGAAAATAACCAGATTTTAGACATTAGGGACCACTGAGATAAATCAAAGTAAGCACTAGTTAAAACACAAGTCCATTACTATCTCAGACTTAAGAGTAACTTGCTATAACACATATAAGGAGAAATTACAATGACGGCTATTGTAATTTCTACAACTTAAACTCGATCGTGTTCAATGTGTCGTACGCATCAACATGTACACTTTTTTTTATTCATAGTGTCAGAGATAAGTCCTTTCTATAAATAGTAACTTACATGTTACATTCTTACAGATACAATGTCCAATTCTATCACGAATGCGAACAGATTGATGAGATGTAATTTCTATGTTTATATCTCCTTTGCATATTCTTTATTGCAATTGCACGTAAATCAAATCACATAATCGGGGGACAACTTTGACTCAACTCTAGAGTTAACCAATACAAAGCATTCACCACACATGCATGTAAAGCATGTAAACAAGAAATAACAGATTCTATTAACAATAAAATGCCAAATACAAAGATGTATTGGCTTGAAGGGCACAATCAATCCCAACGAGGTCAAAAGTGAATCATTTCTTTTGGACACTGGAAGATATGTCTTTTAAGTGAGAGAAATGATTTTTTTTTTTTTTTTTTTTGAAATCATTACATGACTCTGTAATTGTAATAAGAGTTGATAATAACATTTAAAGTGCAATTTTTTTATCTTACAGAATATTATAAAACTGTTACATAATTGGTTTGCAGCTATATCTCCATGTCTCACTTTGGTTCGAAGTTGATTATCTAATAGCGACCAGCCATTGTTTAAATAAGTAGAGTTCTTAATGCTGAAATGGTTTAATGCAGTTTTTTCTTTGATATGTAAGTTTATTAACTTAGTTGGTGTCAAACTTTTTCTCTATGTTACCTTTTTTTATTTTCTTTATCAGCGTGAATGAGAATCTCCATTTATCAATTTTGCTGGGTATAGTCCATTTACTTTTTTATTTTATTATATTTGTCCTATCCTTTATGTTTGATGTGGGATGGTATCTGTCCGTCCGTACCTATGCTTCCCTCCAAACATCCCCCACTTCAATTTAATTCTTTAATGCGTTACTTTATGCTGGATAATTGTAATTGCAACCTTGCAATGAACTTCACATTGATAAAGTTGATGATGCACGTCTTTATGTTTCATGATACAGGTTGGTAATGAGGAAAGGATCCATGTATACTATGCTCATGGCCAAGATAATCCGACCTTTGTTCGCAGATGTTACTGGCTACTTGATAAGTATGCTTTGGTTACTTTTTCATGGATCGATGAGTCAACCTTTCTACTTCTTCTTTTTTCCATATTATTCACTTACACCATTAGCATGGCATATAACAAAAGTTGCTTTTGTCAAACTCTGAACTTTGTTTTGTTGTTATGTTATTTCAGGACATTGGAACACATAGTTCTCGTTCATTATCGTGAAACCCAAGAGGTTGGTTTCTTATACCTCATTAAAACTCATCATTATCTATCTTGCTTTTGCTCTTGGTCTCGCTATCTAGAGATATATACCTATATTTGTACAATGTGTGTGTATGACATACAAGTATTTTGTGTTTAGAGTATATTCACTGTTGTAGTTGGGAAAAGACTTTATTTGTTGTTGTAGAATATATTTCACGGTTGTGTAATGGGAAATTAATAAAAGAACTCTAACAGAAGTTTGATTAAAACGTTGCTTCTTATAGGACTTGTGATAACTATAATGCATTTATTCATTACCTAGACGAAACAGAAATGATTTTTGCATCCATTTTTGTACTCTTCCACTCAATTTGCATTTAAAAATAAAAAAGGAAATGGCACAATTGGCCTTCAAAATTCTCTCACACTCCGTAGTTATCCCTAAAAATAATCTTAAACTCGACTTTTAAGAGGTAACAATTGTTACTTGGCAAAAAAAAACGTTACATTAAAACAATTGTTTGAGCATTTCTACCCCGGACCAGATTTATGACGTCTAGAGTACTATGTAATTTGAATTCCTTAAGACACACCTCAAAGTGTAAGGTACACATAATATGCTGGAATTATGCCTCAAAGAATGCACCATGAGCAATATTGAAAGATATGGTTCCCATTTATATAATTGAGCTTAGAATTTCATTTATATTTTTTATTTTTGCAATATGACATTTCAATTTTTTTTGTATTTAAGGTCTTTAAAGTTAAAAAATTCTAAAAGGAAAAACGAAATAAAGAAAGAAAGAAGGAAAATGGAGCCTTGTCTGGGCATTGCGTGTTAGTTACCCTAACTAACTCGTGCTGAAGGTTCCCAGAGCAACTAATGTGCAATCTCATTTTCTTGTGGATTCTTTGCAACTGTTCTTGAACCCACATATTGATTTATGGATTTTTAGCAACCATCTACTCTAAAAGCTTAAGCTATTAGAGAGGGTGTAACTTAAATATATAAATCCTTCACCACGCCCCTTCTCGTGTGGCCAACTTTTGGTCCAACGCTTGTTTTTTTTTTTTTTCTTTTTTAAATTAGGGTGACGGTGAGGTTTAAACTCGAGACCTTTGGCTCTGATACCATGTTAACAACCATCTACTCTAAAAGCTTAAGCTATTAGAGAGGGGTGTAACTTATATATAAATCCTTCAACATGGATGAATTTATATCTTTTTTTGTACATGTATATGAGTGTGAAGACCTCAGTTGCAGCTGGATGACTTCTCTCAGAACTATTTATTCATATAATGACTTCTTCATAGTACTGTTTTGAGCATGCTTTGTACATTGTAAATCTTTTGTTATATTTATGATAATTTTTGCAATTATATATTTCCTGTCTCAAAAACATTTTTTTTCGAACATTTGCTCGAGTGTATTTCTTCATGTATACTACAGAAAACCCTAGACATGATCATAATTATGAGGTATTAGGTTGCACAAATGGTTGTGCTGCCACTGTAAGTGTATTGTGAGTAAAGGTGAATGTGTAATGATAATAACTTATCACAGCCGTGGATTCCTTTTCTTTTTTCCTTTTAACTAGTGGACCTCTAGGAACTAACTGATGCGCATTTTATAATGTCCATTTGCTATATTTCTATTTTTTTTTTATCATTCTGACATCCAAAAAGCATGTTCTATTGTGGGCATTGAATTTCTTTTTGGGCATAGGTTGCTACTTGTAGGAAAAAAATTCTGTTATTGAACTTGTCTTGACTTTCCATGAATAGGACGGTGATTAACATCAAGAAATCAGAAGCATAATCGAATATATCCTAGAACATTAAGTCTGAAAACTTAGCTTATTATCTTGCTATTTTGACATCTAAAAGCTGAAGTAAGTCTGGATTTACTTTGGTGCTACCCCGAGGCTGTAAGCATGTTTAGTATTTGTTGTCAAAATATTCATTTACCTTTTTAATTTTATGAATTGAAATGTTTATTAACGTTGTGGTGGGTTTGTAGCCTGGAGCAAATATGAACTAGTCTTTTTTGATTTGTGTACTGCCCATGAAGATTCCTGATTATAAAAAAAAAAAATGGAAAACACCAGCATCTGGTTGCTTGAGTGGCATCTCTTGCTGCTCTCGAGGAGTGTGTGTAAGGTACAAGTCTTGGTCGATATTTGGGTGTATGTTTGTTGCTTAAAAACCATTACTTAGTGTGTACCCCTTAATTAAACGTACCAAGTGGGGTGGATTGGGTGCAGAGCCGAGGTTTGGCATTATTTTGCAAAAATTGATGTTGGAATCCATATTCTCACACTTGGCAGTGTGATCAGCATTACACTGTGTGTCTTGCTTGTCTTAAGAAAAATAAAATAAATAAAGCATTTCATTATTTCTACTTTATAAAGAAAGTCCAAACTTTCACATAACACTGCAAGTCCTATCTGTGTGACATCACCTCATTTTATATGCCCATGTCATAGCCATAGTAAACTCATGAAGAATTCAATGGACATTAGATGATACAATGAAGAAACTAATACATATTACAAACATTGATAAATTATCTCATTCCTCAATAAAAATGAATGGTGCTAACCGTATTATTGACTGTGGTTGACTCATGATACATTTGCAGGGTTCTCCAGTCACACCTGTGAATTCAAGTTCTAGTTCAGGCCTCTCTGACCCATCTGCTTCTTGGCTTTTATCAGAAGAAACAGATTCTGGGACTAATCAGGTGTATTCTACTGGTGAGAAAGCAGATTTAGGTGATGTCAGTGGAAGTGTCTACATGTACAGTTATATTACATTCAGTGTGAAAGGTCTCGTTTCATTCTGTACGGCATTAAAAAAAAAAAAAAAAAATCATTTATGAGTTTAGAATAATTCCATTTTTCTCATAGATTGGCTGCTTTATATCATGATAAATGGCTAATATGTGAAGTTAAAACTATAATGTCGAGTAATCTGACTGCTTTTCCTTTCCCCCCTCTTTTACTTGTCTTGAGTCCTGAGAATGGGTATTTTATGTTCTAATTCTTGTCTTCTTGGCAACTTCATAGAGCCTGGTGACAGTATTACCATAAAAATTCATGAAAGGAGACTTCACGAGATTAATACACTGGAATGGGAAGATCTTTTGGTGCCAGATGATCCCAGCAAGTTGAATACATCTGAAGGAGGTGGTGAGCAAGGTGCTCCTCAGGAAACCACTGACATTTTTTCTTTGTATATCTATTTATTTATGTAATTTATTGTGGCAGGAAATGCTTCATGCTTTGAGCAACAGAATCAATATGAAATTAATGGATGCAAAAGTAAAGTAAGTAGGTTTTAGTTCTCTCCTATCCACATCTCGTCTTTTCTCTTTTTATATGTTTCTTGTATTAATTTTACATCACTTTTCTTTTCTTGTTTTTTTTTTTTTTTCTTCTTATTTGGATGATTAATTCTACTAATATTTGTTGTATGAACGCATCACCATTAATAGTGATGATGATAAACTGATCTAATTTAGTCCTTATGGTTAAGCTAAACTTCTTGTTAGTTCTTAAAACTTTTTGTTGGTTAAAGGGAAAGTTTGAAAAAGAAAACCTTTTAGGCAAATTGTGTTGCTCACCAACGGGCCAGTAGCCTAGCGGTATCAGCCTCTTACTCCCCAAAGGGAGGTCAGGGGTTCAACTCTCAAAAGAGACATGTATGTGTGAGTACCAACTACGAAAAAAAAAAAATTGTGTTGCTCCTGTGATTTAACCATTGGAAATTTGGAACAGTGATTGTTATAGACAAAGTGGACAACTGAGGTTTTAGTTGAATTACTTCTGCTTTTGGCACTGGAATTGGTGGACCACATTTGAATGTTGATGATGGAGTTAACAGAAAATATAAATACAAAGAAAAGATATTTTTGTTACTCCAATTTGTTTCTCTGGAAAGATAAATAAAGCAAATATATCTGTTGGTAGTTATAGTCCCTGGTGGGAAAAAAAGAAAAGGGCTGGAATATCAATTTTCCCAGTTTACTCCTTTATAGTTTCATTTAAAGCTCCATATGTCCCCACTTTTGTACGGAGATCAATACTGTATGGATGTCTTTACCACCTTCCCCTTCTCTAGTTTCTTTTCTCTTGCTCCTTTTTTTACATTGGACTGGTAAAATAAAAATTTGAATTAAAAGTTTCTTCTTCTCTACAAATCCTTGGTTCCAAACAAGTGTTGGTGTTTCTCAGGTGAACATCATGACAGTAAAAGCAGTACAAGCTCCATTGTGGTTGTTAATCACTGTAACATTGGAGCATGTCTGATCTGTTATTAAGTCTTCGTTCGTTTCACCATAAAATATTTTTCGGAAATCATTCTCCTCATTTTCCGGTGTTTGGGAGACTCCAAGGTTAGGAAATTAGTTTCCATGTAAATCATTTGACCCCCCAAATGACTGAAAATGATTTACCAAAAAAGTTTCCGTAAATCATTTTCCACAAGCGACCTTGGGTCATCTAACCATCCGTATTCTTATTGAACCCCTATGTCCCTCTAGCAACTATCAGTCCCAATCTAAAAATCTAATCTACAGTCTTCTCTCTCTATATGTATAAATAGGTTGAGAGGAGAGGGAAAGAGGGACACAAATTTGGGTTGGTCGAGGAACAAATTTGGTCGAGAGCATGTTTGGTATAGAGAGAGTAACAAGAAGGATAGAGAGGGATGGTTTAGCGTAGAGAGAGAGGGGGGGGGGGATGGTTTTGGGGATACTGTTCCCTAATCCATGTTGGTGAGGAACACTAAAGAGAGAGAGAGAGAGTTAATTGTGGGCACTATTCCCTGTTGGTGAGGAACGCTGAAGACTGAAAGAATTAATTGTGCACAAAAGCTGATCTATAAAATATTTTACGGGCCGTTGCCAAACACCGGAAAATAAAAAATAAAAAGAACATTTTACATGAAAATGTTTTGTTTAGAAAATATTTTACAAGGAAAACATTTTACGTCCAAACAAATGGAGCCAATTCTATTAATTTTCCATGTCAATATTAATCTATCATATCACATTTAATGGTAAATAAAGGAGTGGTTGAAGATGCTCTACAACATTATTATATAACATTGATGTAAGTTCGAATATATATATATATATATATAATCCTTTTCTTTTTCTGAATTGGGCATTACAACTTCCCACGTGTAGACTAGGGAATCCAATTTAAGATTTTTTGTTTCTTCACTTATTTAGCATTACATCTTTCTTCAATACGTTTCCTGTTGGACTAGTTTAGCTTTTAAAGATTTTTTTGGGACAAATTCTAGTCTGCCGCATAGATTCGAGTACATCTGGTTATATGTTCAAGTGTCAAAGTTGTCAAATCTCCAAAACTAACGACATGGAACGTAAGTTACACAACTAACTATTCATATTTTAAATGTTTTCTAGAAGAAGAGTCTTATGTAGGGTTGTGTAGCAAATTTGAATTACCAAACATGATTGCTTGGTGCGTGTCTAACAAACATGTTGGAGACATGTCATGAACATAATTATCATGTGTCCGGCACAGGTACTTCATATATCTAGAGGAGTTCATGTAGGAGAGTATGCATGAAAATCGAATTAATGTTTTTTGGTGTCTTGCCTGCCATATTATGGTGTAATTGTCGTATTATTAGTCTAACAGCTTTAATACTAAAGTAAGCCAATATATTGGTTGCATCCCTGGATGCAACTGAACTTAACCACTTCATTAAACTCGTATTTCTTCATTGCTGGCATAATTTGACAGTTGTTGATCTCTGCAGGGCAACCTCCCATCAACCTGCAATTTACCTGCGGAAAATTCTACTTTCTTGAATCTCCCTAGGTCAGCTCCCGGAAGTAATTATCTGCATTTCAATACATCGGGAAGCCATTGCACAGGTAATTCTATAAAAATGATGGACAACGACGGTTTGCAAACTCAAGACAGTTTTGGAAGGTGGATGAACCAAGTCATAGCTGATTCTCCAGGATCAGTCGATGATCCAAATTCAGAATCGTCATTGTCACCTGGTTATGAATCATTTACAACTCCAATGATAAAACATCAACCATCTGTTCCAGAGCTGATATTTAGTATAACTGATGTCTCTCCTGCGTGGGCTTTTTCAACTGAAGAAACAAAGGTTTTCACTTTCATCTGGTTACCTTTGCCAAATATTTCTTCACTGACTAGGAAAAGTAGCTTGTTAATTGACTTGTGTTGTACCTAGGGCTTGAAATGGAGTAGACTGGAGTGGATTCATATGAATCCAAATCTAGATCCATATTTTAATGTTAGGAATTCATATCCAGGTCTGAACCCGAATTGGATCCTATGGACATGATCCACATCCGACTCATATAATTTAAACAAGATCCGAATAGATCCATATCTGAACTGACTCCGTGATAGATCTTTCAACAAAGATTCAATATTCAAGCCCCTCTCAAATCCGAATTCAAAATTAAAATCCAAACCTGTTAAAATGGACTTTCAACCAGATGAAATCTCGGGGCAAATCCACTCCATTTCTGACCTTAGGTGTACCCCCTTTTTTTTTTCGTAAGTAAGATTTTATTAAAAGGCGCTCAAGAGGGGACTGCTCCCAAGAATACACAAAAACACCAAAGGCGGCTGTCTATAATCTCAAATTATCAACAAAATCCACAAGTTCCCCCACAGATTTGCAATTTTGCCCATTGACCCAAAAGAATAAAGAACTCAAAATAGTGTATTTGAGAGACCAATTAGGAGTCTCTTCACCATCAATGGATCTCCTGTTTCTCTCGTGCCACAAGCCCCACCATAAAGAAAGGGAGTGGCCCTCCAGACATCTCTAGCTCGGCTATCCACTATACACCCTCTCCAAGCCTCAATCTGCCCATTGTGGAACCGGGAGACATCCAAAACATAGTGAGAGCTGACAAAGATGTAGACTAAATATCTCTTGCCACTGGACAATGAAGGAGGTAATTCATCGACTCTTCTGCCTTTTTGCACATGCAACACCAATTCACCACAACCTGGCACCTCCTTCTAAGGTTGCTCGAAGTGAGAATCCTCCGGAGGGCAGCTGGCCAAGCGAAGAAGGTTACCTTCAAGGGGCTTTCGATCTCTAGATGGCCTTCCAAGGGAATGAAGTACCGTGGATCTCCAACAACCTCCGGTAAAAGGAACGGACCATGAAAACCCCTCTCAAGGAGCCCATCCAAACCATCTCATCCATCCCACCCCCCTCCCTCTCTCTCTCTCTCCATCACTCGACTACATAACAGTGCTAAGAACTCTGCTACCTCCTCAACGGGGTCAAAAGTTCAATAGAATTGTTTAAAAAGAAGGTGAGGGAAAAAACTTTACTTGTTTTCTAGGATAAAAAATTTGTTTAGAATAGATATAACGAAGTGGCCAAATCCTCACACTTCTTGATCTTTAGAACAACCACTGCAATTTTGATATTCTTAGTTTGGTGTCAGCTATAATTGAATTGTCCCATATACCCAATCTAATTATCAAAAGGAGAGTGTGTAAATATCTATGCGATTATTATTATTATTATTATTTTCTTTTGGGATAAAAATTGGTGGGCTAATTAGGATTGCAGACAGAAAGGATTCAGGCTTTTTTATAACCTTAAGAGTTCAAACCTATGCCAAGCAATAAGAAACTAAAAAACATTTAAACTTATCATGTGATTGTTTGTATGTGTGTCAGTGTGTGGTACATATGGCCAATAGACTATAGTATATTGTTTGTCAGCCAATTCCCTGTTACTTATAGGAGCTTAGAAATGAACATAAACCAATTCCATTAAATGGAAAAAGAGAGGATAGAGTGTTGATAAGTTTACCTGTCTCTGAGGCACCTGTTCTTTTTTTTTACTACAATATCTTGTTTTGACTGTATCGCACTATGTATCATTTGATAACCACCAAAATCCTCTACCTTTCGTTCAGATCTAATTTCAAATGGAGGAATTCCAAAGATATTTAGAACTAGATAAATCTCAGCAACATGATTTCCTATATCCACTTATCTTTCAGGAGTATATTTATGCACTTGTTACTTAGGGCTTAGAATAATAAAGCTAGATTGCGACAAATCTTTTTCAAACCAGGAAATTTGAACTATCTTGCAAATCTCTCTCACACACGCAAACACGCATGCATGCGCGCGTGCGCACTCACGCTCCCCTTTAATCCTGTTTATCAAACTCCTAGATGGAGTCCCAGGTGGTATTGATGGTACCGGTTTGAAGAGCCACTAAGCAGCTCTGATTAAATTTTTTTTGTCACCATTATCATGCCTGTCCATGTGGATGATATACTCAGCGCCTTCCATTCCTGGATCTTCAAGTTCTCTGTGACTTATTTGTTGTACCACTTTTTACAAATTAGATATTCAACTTAGTGTTTATTACCCATGGTTAAAAAATGATATACAATTATTATATATTTATTTATTTGCTTACTTTTTCATGTTTTTGCTTACAAATGTTTTGTATAGAATATAAAAATAGTTTACTACTATATGGAATGGTTTTATGTATATTGTGAAATTAGTTTGACATTTTCTTTGGCATGAAAGATTAATCTCTATCACATCCTGGACCACCCCCCACCCCCCCCCCCCCCCCCCCACTTTTTGATACATTTATTTATTAACCAGACAGTTGTCATTGTTTATTTCAAATTGGTGACCGTTAGTGGTTGTTGTTGCAGATCATGGTGATTGGACAATTTTATGAAGGGTATCCAGATCTTAGGAAGTCCAATCTATTTTGTGTCTGTGGAGATGCATTTGCTCCTGCAGAAATTGTCCAACCTGGAGTTTTCCGTTGTTTGGTTTCACCGCATACTCCTGGACCAGTAAATCTTTATTTGAGTTTTGATGGCCGCAAACCCATCAGCCAAGTTATGACCTTCGAGTATCGTGTTCCTTTCCTGCAAAACCAGATGGGTTCTTCAGAAGACAAGTCTAAATGGGAAGAATTTCAAGTTCAGATGAGGCTTGCTCGTTTGCTCTTCTCTACCTCAAATAGCCTTAAAATTTTATCAAGTAAAGTATCACAAAATTCCCTGCAGCAAGCCAAAGTGTTTGCCCGGAGGAGCTCCCAGATATTTGATAGTTGGGCAAATATGATCAAGTCAATTGAAAATAAAAAAATCCCATTTCCACAGGCAAAAGACAGCTTGTTTGAGCTCTCTCTGAAGAGCAAACTGCAGGAGTGGCTATTGGAAAGGGTAATTGATGGATGTAAAACCTCTGACCATGATGACCATGGTCAAGGAGTAATCCATTTGTGCGCTATCTTAGGTTATACATGGGCTGTCTATTCTTATTCATGGTCTGGCTTATCTATAGATTATCGAGACAAATTTGGATGGACAGCTCTTCATTGGGCTGCTTATTGTGGAAGGTATAGAATTTCAGAATAACTGCACATGATTAGTTAGGTTGCTGAATCCAACTCGCGAAACTCTTGAATGAGAGTTTTCCAGCCTTTCGTTTTCTCTCTTACAAGTACACACTATAGTTGTTCTATAATCATTTTCCAGTTCTTTGTAGTTATTGGCACCATAGCTAGTTTCCTACCAATACACGTCTCTGAAGCCAATTTATCTAGATAAAACAAACATAGTTTGGGGTAGGCAAATCATATATGCCAGTCACAATATAACTTTTTTACTTTCGTAGGATGTGAAAAACTGAACTTTGTCTATTCAGTTTGTAATATTGAAACTCTCCATTGTCAGGAAGGAGATGGTTGCAGCTCTTTTATCTGCCGGGGCAAAACCAAACTTGGTCACAGATCCCACTAAAGAAAATCCTGGCGGATGCAATGCAGCTGATCTTGCTTCTAAGAATGGTTTTGATGGTTTAGCAGCTTACCTTGCGGAAAAGGCTTTAGTGCAACATTTTGAGGATATGACCATAGCTGGAAATGTCAGTGGCTCACTGCAAACTAGCACAACCAATTCAGTGGAACCTGGTAACCTGAGCGAGGATGATCTCTATCTGAAGGATACCCTAACAGCCTATCGTACGGCTGTTGATGCAGCAGCACGTATACACGCTGCATTCAGGGAGCACTCATTTAAGCTACGGGAAAAAGAGGTTCAGTTTTCCAATCCAGAGGATGAAGCACAAGCTATAGTTGCAGCAATGAAAATTCAACATGCCTTCCGCAACTTCGAGACGCGAAAAAAGATGGCAGCTGCTGCTCAAATTCAGCATAGATTTCGCACTTGGAAGATCAGAAAAAAATTTCTCAATATGCGTCGTCAAGCCATTAAAATTCAAGTAAGCCATCTCTGCCATTCTTTTGCTTGCCCGCTTTGTACTTTTAAGAGTGCTTTAAGAGTTTCTTAATGGTGGCAGGAAATCTAAAAATTGCTTTCTTCTTGAGACTATTTTTTTGTGTACATTATCATCAAGATTCAACAGAACTTGAATGTTCAGAACACTGAAAAATGATAAATATATATATTTTTGTTTTTCTTAGATTGTGATCAACATTCCCAGCATACTTGAATTTTCTAGACTTGGATTGATTCAATTGCATTTTTCTCTAATGCAGGCTGTTTTCCGGGGATACCAAGTCCGAAAGCAGTATCGGAAGATAATTTGGGCATTTGGAGTGCTTGAAAAGGCAATATTACGTTGGCGTTTGAAGCGAAAAGGCTTTCGTGGGATTCAGGCTCCTCCTGTTGAAGATGTGAAGGATCAGAAGCAAGAAAGTGATGTGGAGGAGGGTTTCTTTTGTGCTAGTAGGAAACAAGCTGAAGAGCGTATTGAGAGGTCTGTTGTTAAGGTCCAAGCCATGTTTCGTTCAAAAGTAGCACAACAAGAATATCAGAAGATGAAGTTGGCCCATAATCAAGCAATGGTAGGCCACTTTATATAGACCTGTTAGGTTACTGTACAACTCTTTTGTCAATTAACGAGCCTAACTATGTTTTATGCAGCTGGAATATGAAGGGCTTCTCAATCCTGAGACTGACATGGGATAAGAGAAGTCTGGCATTCTGCTGGGGTTAAGCCACTGCTTACTGGTAATCCAGACAGCTACAGTTGAACAACCGGTGTGGACAAAAAATTTCAATGGACAGGTTTCTATTCTTGAATGCAATTTGTACATTTTTGTTAAATACCTAGACTAATATAGTCGTGTAGGTCTGAACCCTTTTATATATTTTATGAAATTAAGGGCCATGATTTCGGTTTCAGTGTCAGGTACGTCAGGTGGTTGTACTCTTGTTCACAGAGTTTTTGAGGTTTATGTTCTTGTCTACTCTTTGATACTTCTGGTTCACTTTTCAGTATGATGTGGATGGTATTGTTTAGCAAATATGTATTTAGGGAATCTCTCTCTGTCCCATGTACTTCCTTGGAACTTCCTTTTCCATAAATAATCGTAATGTCTTCAGCAAAACATGCCCAGTCCTAATATTTCACTAACCTGAATCAACTCTAGTACGTATTTCACGCATATACATACATATAAGACCTTAGACATGAAAGCATTTATTCTTTTTTGCCAAGACTGCAATGCATGGGATTGTCATTTTCTCAATTCGCTCCCCGCCCCCCTACCCTAAGTGGTAACCAACATCGGTCCATTAATTTCTATGTTAATTGCGAAGTGAGCAATTCCTGGCGGTGTTGATGGCGTATATTTTGCACAATCAAACCAAGAAGATTGAATTCTCCGATGATATCAGATGGCTGGTACATTACTTTGTGTGACATAGGGTTCCAGTGATGGTGGTGTCATGTTGATGTGGAGGAGGGGTGGTTGCGCTTGTGAACTTGGTTCCTGTGACTTGAGTTTTGCAACTAAACCCGACAGAACTCTTTGTTTCAGTTTTGTGATACCATTGTAGCCCGCCTCTTTCCTCGAGGGAACTAAAATTCTGCCTTTGTATGCTTAGAGGGACAGTAGAAGTAGTAGAATTGTTCACCTGGTGTGTTAGGAATTTATGCATGAATTAAATCTTAACCGTGGGATATAAAGGTATAAACTACTTTTTTAACTGCCAAATGAAATTTGACAATTAATACTTTAGATGTTTTTGCACACTAGGGAGCAAGTGAATAATTCTGGTAGAAGGATCGGAACCCTAATTTGCGTATCACTTGTCATGGAACTCCAAAACTTGTGAGAGCAACCTCTTTACTTTTGAGCTGCTAAATGCAACTGAAGAACCAATGCTTCAGCATTCACATCATTTGATGAGAGGAAAGCCGAAAGCGTATTGTAAACCTATACTTATCCTATTGGAAGGAAACTCAGGCCAATAAAGATATTGATTGGATTTCATTAAAAATGAAGATTATTTAGAATATTACACTTGCGTTATTCAAAAACTAAAAAAGGATTGTCCTTTCTTCAAATGGGACAAATATGCTTATCCAATCCCAAGGCTAAGGTTTGTTGATTCAAGTTGGTTTGCCTAGTACCAATGACAGACGTGGTATGTCCGATTCAACTAGTATCGTCTCTAGTACAAGATGTCCTTGTCTCAAATAACATAAGACACATTTTGAAAATTTTCTGGAGAATAAAACCTCAACTCAATTTTCTTGAAATCATTTCTAGGAAACTCTTAACCAAACAAAATTTCATGTCGTTTTATTTTTTCAATTGTTTTCAAATAAGGTAATGTTGCTATTAGGTTTACCTCGTGACACTTCTGGTGAGCTTTTCTTTAAATTAGCATGTTTTGGACAAATAAAATAATATACGAATACCATAAAATTATTTTGGACAAATAAAATAATATACAAATACCAAATAAAATAATATACAAATACCATAAAATTATACAAGACGGTTAAAGTTAATAGTGTAATTTAGTCAAAAGAAAAAGAGTGAAATTTTGATCCTTCTGATCCATAACAAAACATCTTTCAATGATTTTCGTAACAATCATCACAAAAATAATTTTAAATCTTTTCTTGCCCGATTTTCGTTAAAACCACCATTTTAAACTCTCTTTTCATTATTTTTGCATTGTAAAAGAATTTTGGTACTTAGGACTATAAAATCATCATACAATTCTCTTTCGATCCTTAAATTTGTACCTTAATATTTATATATGATCATGACAAAAAGATAGAAGTGTCATGGTATAGATCTTGTAGTCTTATTACACTCTAAAATATAAAATAATTTTCAAAAGATTCCCGATATTAGGCTTTCAACAAAATTTGTTTTTTGTTTAAAGAAAGCTAAATATTTCTCTAATGAAACTCCAAATTTGAATTCCATGTGTGGATTTTCAACCACAAAAAAATAATAATAATAATAAATAAATAAATAAATAATAATAATAATAATAACTCAAACACACCCACAACTTGCAGATATTCGAAGAAACTCGTCAAACCTGTCGAGATCGTCGAAGATAACAGCAAATGAATGAAAATCGTTAAAGGTTTCGACCGAAAACAGCAATAGGAGTTTCGATTAGTGTTTGTTTTTAGCCAACATAAGTAGTCGTCAACAATCGCCAGAGAGGAAGAGAGCAAACGCGAACCCTAGAAAATGGAACATTCGCCTTTTATATGTGCTTGAGTAGTTGCCTCTGCTATAGTAAAATGAAGGAGTTTGTTTGTTCTGCCACACTGAATATTATGGGCCAAACAGTGCTAAAACAAGCAAAAACACCTAAATGGTGTTTCAGATTTTGAGCCACTTTTTGCAAATGTTTTACAACTGTTTAAAATATAACAGACGCCAAATATGTTTTGGGTTGGAATTGGGCCACTGTAGCAAGCCTGCAACATAAAAATAAAAAATAAAAAACAAAACACCAACCAAACAGGCCCTAAAATATCCTCAACTTTTGGAAGAAAAAAATTTCTTGGACTACTAATTAGTTTTGAAGTTTTAGGAGACATGTAGAAAATGCCTTTTTGTCCCGGCTCATTATTTGAAAGAGTGGCAGATAAACCCTAGTCATGTTATCCACTTGTCTTGTCTATGCAAGTCATGGAAACAAAACAACAAATCAATGTTTCGATGGTTTCACTTTTTAATTTAAAATTTTAAAATCAAAATATAAATATTGATGAAAAACCAAATTAAACCACACACAAACTCACAATGGACTTATTTGACAATCTCTGTTTTGTGTTTTTTTGTTTCTGTCGGTGAATTATAGGAGAAAAAACAGAGTGTGGAAATAACATTTGTTACAATTTGAATAGTACTGAAATGCTTTTAAAAAAGGGTCCAAAACCGGAAGCACCAATTTGATGCTCCGGTTTGTTTTACCACCCAAAAAAAAAAAGAAACCCTAAAATAACTTTTTGAATATTTAATTTTTCAAAATTGCAACACTTTTTTACTAAATATGTTTTCATATTTTTAATTACAAAATCTCACAATATGTTACCAAATAAATTTCCAAGTCCTATTGAACACTGTTGAACAGAAACATTACTTCATCTGTGATGTGATTGCCAAATGGGCCCAATATTCTTCATAACAAAGTATTCTCATGCACCCCATGAATAAAGTCTATAAAATGCTATTAATTGAACAAGGCTAAGTTCATCCCGGTCAAGTCGTCCCAAATAAGCCCAATTCAGAGGCCCATAAAGGGCAAATCCGTCATTTATGATCGAAAGCAGCTAGAACTAGGGTTTCGTTACAAGTCACATAAGAACCCAACCCCTTCTCTTTTCTATCGGCCCCTGAAAACCCTAACAACGAACCGCTAAGAGCTCTCTGTCCCTCGATTTTCTCTGTATGATCTCTCTCTCTATATATATGAATACTGAACTGTATTGATTGATCGCTTCGATTTCATTTCCTCTATATGTTGTTAATTTTGGGTGTGCAGTGATGGCGAAGTCGAAGAATCACACGGCTCACAACCAGTCCTACAAGGCCCACAAGAACGGCATCAAGAAACCCAAGAAGCACCGCCACACCTCCACCAAAGGGGTACTTCATTTTCGAATCGTTTACCCCAAATCATGTTCATATATCTATCTATATATTTGAATATATATATATGAGTGTGAATAGATTTTTATGATTTACAAATATACTTATTAGGGTTTATATAAAATTCGTATGTGTAGATGGATCCCAAGTTCTTGAGGAACCAGAGGTATGCAAGGAAGCACAACAAGAAGAGTGGGGAATCAGCCACCGAGGAAGAGTAAACATCTTCAAAAATGGCACTTTTAGGGTTTTCATTTGTCTGTTCACTTTTTTTTTTTTTTTTTTGCCGTTGAAGTATACTGATGTGACTTTATGCTATTTTTCTAATTCAGTATGAAACTATATTAATTAGAGAGTTCATTGTTGCACTTCACTTCCAAGTATGGGCTTAAGCTCATCCACTATTTTGTGGATTGTTATTGCTGTCTTTTGAAATTCCCTCAAAATTCTGAAATATTACTAGTAACTCTTTTGGAAGTTTTGCTTATTTGTATATCTGTATTTTTTTAGGTTCTCAATTAATTGTTAAAACATGATCTCATGAATCTTCCTCGGTACCCAGATTGTGTTTGGTAATCTTTTATAACTTTTAAGCTCTTATACCAGGAAAAAAAAAAAAAAAACAAAACAAAACAAAACAAAACATGCTTTGTAATTTTGCCCAACTTTTGAGGTTTGTGTCTAGTTAAGGGGATTAAATTGTATATATTATGGTTTGTGTTAGATTGTATGTATTATGGGTTGTGTTAGGTTGCATGTATTTTTAGGTCTATGGATGTGATTACTTAGTAGATTAATGCTTTGATGTTGAATTTGTTCATTGGTGGTTGTTGACAAACTTGGTTCCTCAGTTTACAGTTGAGGAAGGTATAGTCGATAGTTTAGTAGCTGATGAGTTTCGGTGCATCTTCACTTTGAAGTTAGAGGGGGTCTATAATTGGCTTAAGTCCTAAAACTATTATCTTCTATGTTATCTGAACTCTTTTAACGCATGCATTAGGTGCCTGAATTGGACACATGAAGCTGCATATGGGAATAGAATGCGTTGAACCTGTTTTGTTGAACAGGCACCTTGAAATTATTTTTAGGATATTCAAGTTTTTAGTATATAGTTGTACACGAAACTCTTTATAATGTTCCTTTATCATACATAAGGAATAACAACATTTTACCCCATGGAATATTAGAAGAATATAAAAATTAGGGAATATTCAGCCTATTCCCATGTCATAGGGTTTGAGGATTTGATGACTCTAAATCTTAGACACATACCCACAGACAAGCCTGTAACAGAGTGTTTTTCTACGTTTATTTTTGTTATTTTATCAATTTTAAATTAATGGCATGGCTATGTAGGAATCATTGATTCTTTAACCTTCTGTCTGATTTCCTTGTTTATTTGGTAACTGAAAGTCTTCCTCTGGTGTCCTAATGGCTAAGGTTGCACAATCATGTATTTGTGGGTTATAGTCCCATGTGCACAATTCTCATGCACCCAAGGTGTTCTTGTGATGTATGCTGATCATTGTATAAGAGCAAGTATGTCATGAGGCCCCCTCGTCGCCACTCTCCACAGGCAATGAGGGTGCGAGCTCCTTTGTTAGAGGTTTTTGCAAACATATAATTGTTTGAACCCTTTATAATTATTGATCAATAGGGTTTTCTTAGTCATCGAAAAATTTCCCCATTATAGGGTTTGAAGTAGATTTGGGTGGCGAGGCTGTGTTTGAAGCATGAAGAAAGTAATTTTGTAACTTTGAACAAACTGTGTTTAGTTGAAAACACGGTTATAAAAAATGTATGTTTTTAGATAACTTTTCTTTATAATTCTCTGAAAAGTGAAAACAATTTTTCGTTTTCCGAGTTTTGAAGAATAGTTTTCAGTTATAGGCCCTAAATAACTTTAGTTTTAGAACACATACCATGACTTACCCAAAAAAATATATAAACACACCTTGATGTGATTCAATTTTATTTAAATTGGTTAACTTCTTCTATTATTTGTTTTCCAAAATGGATTACATCTTTTGCCTCTATATCTGTGTTTTGCTTTTCTTTTTTCTTAATTAGTATTTATTTGTATAGGTATACAAACACCTTCATATTGTCAACTATAATGTCTTTACAATTCAAAATTTCTCAAATTGTTGAGGTTGTGGTCCTAAATCGATGAGGTCTGCGGTCCCAAGGTTCACAATCTTGATTTGTCTACAAATTGTTGTTTGGTGAGGTGTTCAGAGTTGGTAATATCGTGGTAGCCTTCTTTATTTTAGTTAAGTAATCTACATAATTAGTAATGATATCATTTTGCACACCGGAGAAACTTCCTCCACACCACGTATGGTGATGGTGATGGTGACGGTTGATGTGTTTGGTGTGAATAAATTTCTTGTTTGTAATATCGTGGTATTCTTTATTTTAGTCAAGTAATCTACATAATTAGTAATGATATCATTTTGCACACCGGAGAAACTTCCTCCACACCACGTATGGTAATGGTGACAGTCGATGTGTTTGGTGAATAAATTTCTTGTTTACCAGTGCGGAAGAGGTCATTTCTATCTAGTATCTACATCATATGGTGGATCTAACCGGTCTCTGAGCAACTGCATTCGTGATCCATTATACTTGTGTGATACTTCTCCTTGAGGTCCGCCCTTCACTTTTCCTTTATCAGTTAAGGGCATACACATCACTATCCTAACCTAAAATTGCATCCACACTTGTTAAATCACACACATTTTATTTTGGGGTATCTGCGCCATTACCACTACAGCCTTCCATCACAACATACACCACTACTGCCTTCTATCACAACCTCCCCCTTCCTCTTCCCCTCGAATCTCCCTTTCCCTCACTCCCCCCCTTCCTTCCCTTCCTAGTTCACATCCGAAATAAGATTTATCACCTCCCTCACCCCTTTCCAGAAGGGGTTATTCTTTTCCTTCTACACCGTCCTCCTAAATTTCTGTCCAAGGCCTGATCCCGATTGCCCTTAAAGGAGACACTGAATGGATGTATTATTTGTTGCAATAGAGCCTGCATTAAGGGTTTGTTGATGCTATATGGAGATCACACTTTGTGGTGTAAGGAGGATCTTCTCTCTTCTTTTCACATTGTATGCGACAAAAATGTGTGTTCTGAGCCATCAGTTCCACTTGTGTGTTACCCCCATCAGTTGAAAAGCCGATAGAACCAACTTAGAAGATCCAAGGGCTTGGTAGAGTTGGTAAGGTAACGAGGGAGAACCAACTTAGAGGATCCTGGGACTTGGTAGAGTTGGTAAGGTAACGATCCTGGGACTTGGTAGAGTTGGTAAGATAACGACCTGGACGTCTTAATATCCCAGGTTCAAACCCGCCCATCTCTATTATTATCCTTAACTTAAAATGTTGTTTGCACTGTGGAATCGGGGTGAGTAATTGGGAGTTTACCTGGTAATTACAAGTCTAAAGGGCGAGATAGATGATCCACTAAGTTGGTGAGTGAATTAATGTTGGTGAGGGAGTTAGACCCGCATGAATTATTGTTGGTGAGTGACTTGAGGGTAAAAATCCCCCGCAAATGCACCCTTCTCAAGATGACAAAGGGGATATATAGAAATTTATCTATGTTTTTGCAATATTTTATTGATTTATTTTGGTAAGTAGTTCACAGCCCCACTTTCCTTGCTAATATTCCACCCTCAGCCTCCTCCTTTCACCTATCTTTCAACCAATGGAGGCGGTTTGGGGGCCAACCCCAACCCCAACCCCAACCCCATTTAAAATAGTTACCCTCATGTCCAAAAACTGTTTATTAAATGAGGTGAGGTGAGTTTGTAGAGTATATTCGTAATTGTAATACAAATGTAACGAAAATAAATAATAAAACAAATTTTCAATTATGAGCATAATTTTTTTTCCTGGTATCTACATCATATGGTGAATAAATTTCTTGTTTACCAGTGCGGAAGAGGTCATTTCTATCTAGTATCTACATCATATGGTGGATCTAACCGGTCTCTGAGCAACTGCATTCGTGATCCATTATACTTGTGTGATACTTCTCCTTGAGGTCCGCTCTTCACTTTTCCTTTATCAGTTAAGGGCATACACATCACTATCCTAACCTAAAATTGCATCCACACTTGTTAAATCACACACATTTTATTTTGGGGTATCTGCGCCATTACCACTACAGCCTTCCATCACAACATACACCACTACTGCCTTCTATCACAACCTCCCCCTTCCTCTTCCCCTCGAATCTCCCTTTCCCTCACTCCCCCCCTTCCTTCCCTTCCTAGTTCACATCCGAAATAAGATTTATCACCTCCCTCACCCCTTTCCAGAAGGGGTTATTACAAGTCTAAAGGGCAGAAGAGGTCATTTCTATCTAGTATCTACATCATATGGTGGATCTAACCGGTCTCTGAGCAACTGCATTCGTGATCCATTATACTTGTGTGATACTTCTCTTTGAGGTCCGCCCTTCACTTTTCCTTTATCAGTTAAGGGCATACACATCACTATCCTAACCTAAAATTGCATCCACACTTGTTAAATCACACACATTTTTTTTTGGGGTATCTGCGCCATTACCACTACAGCCTTCCATCACAACATACACCACTACTGCCTTCTATCACAACCTCCCCCTTCCTCTTCCCCTCGAATCTCCCTTTCCCTCACTCCCCCCCTTCCTTCCCTTCCTAGTTCACATCCGAAATAAGATTTATCACCTCCCTCACCCCTTTCCAGAAGGGGTTATTCTTTTCCTTCTACACCGTCCTCCTAAATTTCTGTCCAAGGCCTGATCCCGATTGCCCTTAAAGGAGACACTGAATGGATGTATTATTTGTTGCAATAGAGCCTGCATTAAGGGTTTGTTGATGCTATATGGAGATCACACTTTGTGGTGTAAGGAGGATCTTCTCTCTTCTTTTCACATTGTATGCGACAAAAATGTGTGTTCTGAGCCATCAGTTCCACTTGTGTGTTACCCCCATAAGTTGAAAAGCCGATAGAACCAACTTAGAGGATCCAAGGGCTTGGTAGAGTTAGTAAGGTAACGAGGGAGAACCAACTTAGAGGATCCTGGGACTTGGTAGAGTTGGTAAGGTAACGATCCTGGGACTTGGTAGAGTTGGTAAGATAACGATCTGGACGTCTTAATATCCCAGGTTCAAACCCGCCCATCTCTATTATTATCCTTGACTTAAAATGTTGTTTGCACTGTGGAATCGGGGTGAGTAATTGGGAATTTATCTGGTAATTACAAGTCTAAAGGGCGGGGTAGATGATCCACTAAGTTGGTGAGTGAATTAATGTTGGTGAGGGAGTTAGACCCGCATGAATTATTGTTGGTGAGTGACTTGAGGGTAAAAATCCCCCGCAAATGCACCCTTCTCAAGATGACAAAGGGGATATATAGAAATTTATCTATGTTTTTGCAATATTTTATTGATTTATTTTGGTAAGTAGTTCACAGCCCCCCTTTCCTTGCTAATATTCCACCCTCAGCCTCCTCCTTTCACCTATCTTTCAACCAATGGAGGCGGTTTGGGGGCCAACCCCAACCCCAACCCCATTTAGAATAGTTACCCTCATGTCCAAAAACTGTTTATTAAATGAGGTGAGGTGAGTTTGTAGGGTATATTCGTAATTGTAATACAAATGTAACGAAAATAAATAATAAAACAAATTTTCAATTATGAGCATAATTTTTTTTCCTGGTGCGGATAAAAACAAATATCAACTTCTCAATTAAATTTAAGACTAAAATTATTGTTGCAACATCAAAATAATATATAGGAGTTATCAAATAAGAATAATATAAAAATATATTTACTGATTGGAAAAGAATAAATTATGATTTATAGAATAAATACTTAATATTATTGAATATAAACTAAGTATAAGCAATATAAATGGGGCGGGGTGACCTTTTTCCATTCCCGCCCCATAACCATCTGGGTTATTAATTCTAATCTTCTCTTTCCAAAACCATTTAACCACTCCCTATACCGTTCTAAACGGGGCGGAGCTGGAAATTCCCTATACCATTCTAAATGGGAAGGGGCGGGATATTTTGCCATCCTAACTCTATACAAACCTAAATGTCGCCATTTTACATAATAACCTGCTCCAACTGCATTCTGCACCTGCTTTTAATTGAAGGCAATCAAATCTGCATTGAAAGGATTACTTTGCAATAAGGTCCTGAGCATGGTCCAAATCCTCTCTAGCAAATTTCATACTGAGTATACATTGCCAAATATAGCCTAGTGGTGGGATCAAAATCCTCTCCAGCACAACAGTGTATATGTCCAAACAGGGAGGAAAATTAGTGATACACATTAGGAAAATGTTAAGATGCAAAACCAATATAGCTTAGTGGTGTGATCAAAATTCTCTCCCGCACAACCGTGCATATGTCCCAACCAGTGAAGAGAACATTGGGATGCACCTTACGAAAACAGTGGAAAGCAAGGCCAAGCATCTCAATATTTTCGTAAGCTGTATCACTAATTCTCCTCACTTGTTAGAATACATGCACTGTTGTGCTGAAGAGAATTTTGTTTCCTAGTGGTGCGGGTTCAAATTTCGGGACAAATGGTAAACCAAAAAATAATAATAACAATAATTATTATTATTTATTCTCCTCACTTGTTAGAATACATGCACTGTTGTTGTGCTGAAGAGAATTTTGTTTCCTAGTGGTGAGGGTTCAAATTTCAGGACAAATGGTAAACCAAAAAATAATAATAACAATAATTATTATTATTTATTCTCCTCACTTGTTAGGATACATGCACTATTATGCTAAAGAGAATTTTGTTTCCTAGGGGTGAGGGTTGAGGGTTTAAATTTCGGGACAAATGGTAAACCAAAAAATAATAATAACAATAATTATTATTATTATAATAATAAATCTCCTTTCACTTCTTGTTTCGTTGTAATTCTTGTTTTATTATGTTATATCCTTGCAATCTCAAAATAAAACATTTTCTGTTTCTTCCGAGCCTTTACCGCCATCTTTATCTAATGTTAAAATTATCTTCTTCTTTTTTTAGTAAAATAAAATCAAATAAATCGGTGAAAATGTTCAATATATGTATATTTAAATCCTTTCCATTTCTTCGTTATTTATCAGAAGGTACCACAATTTTCAGTCATTTACAGTTACAAGTATCTTTGTGCGTGTGCGTGTGTGTGTTTTGAAGAATTGAAGTTCTTAATGGACTTGGTTTGGTACCAATAACTGTATAAATAAAATTTTAAAATTTAACGGTACCCAAGAATATATGGAAATAATAAAACATACTTCAGAATATCTAAAATGGCTCTGACCCATGACACTCTTATATAACAAGAATAACATAGCATCTAATGCGAAAAAATTGTGTAAAGATGAAGCAAAATTTCAGAATGAGTAAAAAATGCAATTTTTACTACAGTAACTTACAAAAAAGAAAATCACAAATACATCATCAATCCTTCAGAATTGTCCAACTCAGATCTTGAGAATCTCTAATTTGATCTTGAGAATCGAGCATTTTGTCAATATAGCTGTTTTGTTTGAAAAAGATGGCAAGCTTTTGAAATTGTTGGGTCTTTGAAGGCCAAATATTCAATGGATCCATATGAAACTTAAAAGTTGGCTATACGAATCTGGTTGTAATGCTGCATCATCCTTCAGAAGGAAAGTTTGGTTGTTAGTGAAGGTGTGGGGGTGCAATAGAGATGATTGTTAGTGAATTTATAGAATATTGGGAAGTGAATAAAGACCAATGGTATAAATAGTGACAAATTACTTTGACAAATTCATACGAGAAATCCGGAAAGATAACATCGAGTAAAAAAAGTGAAACGTGAAATTCTAAATATGTTTGACAAGTCTTACAGAAGAAATCTTGAAATTTGAAAATTAAACAAATTTCGAAAATCGAAATAGTTGAAAATTTTGAAATCTGTGGACAAAACAAATCTTACAAATAAATCGAGAATGATTATCAGATTGACCCCTTAAAATGATCTTCAAAATCTCAATGTGAAAGGCATGATCAAAGATCCATTTACTTAAGTAGGGTGACATTGCTAAATCTTATCTTCCTTCTCAGACTTCATTTTTGCCTGAAATGGCTTCCTCTTCTCTTCCAAAAACCGTTTCGACCTGAATGTGATACCTGATATAGAAACAGATGTCTAGCGGCTAGAATTTCTAACCCAAAATGGCCGGCTCACGGTTAATGACTCAGTGATGCTGAATGATATTACAGCTACAGTAGCAGCTAGGGGTATTATTACTCCAAGAGATGAAAGATTATTGGCGAATAGGACTGATTCAGACGCCATTAATGACTCATTGGCTTTCAGTATTCAGGGTGCTTCATCTGTTTCAAACATGGGTCAAAGACTGCAGGCGAGAACTAATGAGGTTCAACATCTGAACACTCTAGTTGCAGTCCTTCAGCGAATGCTTAATGACTCTCAGCAGAGAGTTAAAGTGCTTAATATGGAAAATGAAGAGTTAAAGAAAATGGTGGATTCGTATGTTAAAGATTTTGGAGCAAGGCTCGCAGAGTTGCAGAGTTCCGGAGATGTAATTAATGAACACCACAAGAAACTCATGGCTGAGATCCAGAGGCATCCTCTCACCATCCTTATCTAATGTTACAATTATCCTCTTCTTTTTTCACTAAAATAAAATCAAATAAATCGGTGAAAATGTTCAATTATTATTATTATTAATTTTTTAATCCTTTCCATTTCTTCGTTATTTATCAGAAGGTACCACAATTTTCAGTCATTTACAGTTACAAGTACCTTTGTGTGTGTGTGCGCGCGCGCGTGTTTCGAAGACTTGAAGTTCTTAATGGACTTGGTTTGGTCCCAATAACTGTATAAATAAATTTTTAAAATTTAACGGTACCCAAAAATATATGGAAAGAATAAAACATAGCTCAGAACATCTAAAATGGCTCTGACCCATGACTCTCTTATATAACAAGAATAACACAGCATCTAATGTGAAAAAATTGTGTAAAAACTTCTGAATGAGTAAAAACTGCAATTTTTACTACAATAACTTACAAAAAGAAAGTCACAAATACATCATCAATCCTTCAGAATTGTCCAACTCAGATATTGAGAATGTGGCAATCTCACTCAATGGTCCATTTCCTCTCTCATTTGATTGGAGAGGTGAATTTCCCTACTATCAATCAATCATACAACAAGCTTTACACTGCTACTGGTTCACCAACTGGACTAGGAACATGAGCATTAACCTGCTCCCCAAAAAACAAGTGTCAGAAGTGATTTCTTTTGTTATTCTACAAATGTATCTTAATATTTTCATTTTTAGGAAAATAATTAGGGAGATCATATTCACTTCACTTTTCTCCACTTGCTTCTCTCTCTTTTTTTTTTTAAGTAAAAAATTTAAATGATACAATTGTCCTTTAAAATATATATCTCAAAATTATTACAAGAATACCACCACACCTCCCAACAGATCAATGGCCCAACGGTACCAAGCCCCCTACTTCCCAAAGGGAAGTCAAGGGTTCAAGCCTAAGCGAAGATATGGGTGTGTGAGTACCAACTAAAAAAAAAAAAAAAGAATACCACCACACACCATTCTTGAAGGGTAATTTTGTCATTTTTGCTTATTGAAAATTCAGGTGGAGTGCAAGTGGTGGGGGAGGGAAGCTCCATAGTGTTAATGACTATATATATATATATATATATTTTTTTTTTGGTTAGGTAAATACACACACAAATACCCACCATGGAAGTCAAACCTCTCAGGTGTTCAGTGTAAATAGCAATATCACTGTAAATGTTGGAAACAAACTTTTCACCATAATGTATGCACTGCATTGTCTGTTGACTTGGGAAATTCAAGTCCATAATGTCAAGGAAAATGTTACATGGGGACACCTGGTCAGCTCAACTTGGCTCATTTGCAGCCCTATTGCTTCTCAGTTTTGTAACATTTATCATGCAACATATGGAACTAGCAATTAATACATGTGCATGGAATTGGAATTGGAATTGGAGAAAAGCAACTCACAAAATTGAAGTAAATTTTTCTCCAATTCCATGCAGCCGTACGCAAGTTAAGCAACACAAGCTTACCTTGGATGATTTAAAGAGTTCATCAAGAACTTCAGACAAGGTTGGGTGCGCATGAACTGCAAACTTTATGTCCTGCAGGATGACAAATGCACAAACAGTGATCATGTGTTATCGAATAACTCTTAAAAAATTAGTTCCAGTCACAGCTACTTGCCACTTAGGAGGTGGAGGTATGAGAATTATCAGTTATGGAACTGAATTGCTGGCCTAAAAACGGATGACTAAGTTTGCAGGAGGGGAAGAGTCTTCAAACTGATAAGTAAGTGGTTCATTCTAAAGTAGGAGTGCAACTTGGGTTGGGCAACCCGAACCTAGCCCGAGCGCAACCCAATGTTTTGCGGGCTTGGGCAATCATTATTATAATTAGGGTCGGGCTTGGGTTGGAAATTTTCAACCCGGACTTAATTAGGGTTGGGCTTGGGTTGAGGTACTAGCAACCCGAGCAAACTGAACCCGAATTCTAATATTATTTATATATATATATATCAACTTTAAATGCATTATATATACTCTTCAAATTATTATCTCCTTTTTTCTTTTGCAACTTCCTTTGTTAAATCTTAATTTATTGTATTTAGTAGAATTACTTTTATAAGCATTTGTTAGTAATTTATTAAAAATTTGCAATAAGTTTTTAAAACTTTTTTTTGTTTAAGAGTAATTTAATCAAATTGGCCATATGGGTAACCCAAACTAAACCTGGCTTTCGAACTCAAAATCCAAGCCCAAGTTAAAACCCGAGTTTAAAACTAGAAGGATGGGTTGGGCTTGGGTTGAGTAGTTAAGGTTGAAGGTAGGGTTAGAGTTGGGCTTCGGCTAAGCATTTTATATGTCGGGTTGGGCTCAGGCTAGACCTCTAACCCGTCTGAGTTGCAGCCCTATTCTAAAGGCTGATATCAAGTGTAGCAGTTGATGTGGCTGGAGTGAGGTGTTAGCACGTGTAAACTACCTGGATACGTGTACCCAATGCTATTGCATTGGATGCTTCGTGGATGAGGTCTGCAGCGTGCAACCCAAAAATATGAACTCCAAGTATCTCCCCATTGTCAGGTCTGTATATCAACTGCACAAAGGTAACATGTACAGAACTTAGCAAATAACAAACCTATACAGTAAAAATAGGTCAACATAGTTGATACAAAAGTTGAAAGTTGAAACTTAAGATGCATAGAAATGTAAGAGGGCAAGGACCTAAAATCTAAATGTTGAAATGTGTGAATGAAACAATAAACGGACAGAATGAGAGAAGAGAAACTCAGAATTGCATCCGTATTCATTTTTTTTTTTTCTTTTTCTTTTTCTAGTTGATACTCGCACAGTGGATCACATCTATCAATTCTATCCAGCAGACGGAATTTTCAATTAATATCGTTATGCTGGAAAATGTGAATCAAGCAAATCTCATCTTGAGGAGCCCAAGAAACATTATTCCAAAATTTAATTTCTATATCTTTAGCAATTGCATCTTTTAGAAAGTGACATTACAACAAATATATATAAATATATGAAAGTGATTTCTAATTTACTACATTCAGCACGTAAATGACAGTGCTGTGAATTAGCTAATTGATCATTTCATCAGTAGACTTATCCTGTTGTTGAGTGGTTCCAGTGCCATATTTTCTGCACCGAAATAACATAGAAGGAAAAAAGGGTTAGAAATATAACCTTTGCAAGTCCCTCCCCTTCATTTTCTGCAAGAGCTTTTGTGTTAGCCTTGAAACTTGTTTTCGCAATACTTATCTCAAATCCTTCCTTCTCAGCTTTCTCCCTAGCTTGAGGCTGTAAAAATTTACCAGTTCGTCAAAACTAATTACTTACACAGAACCAATTATAAAAATCACTAATTTTCACTACCGGAAAAGAAAGAAAAAGAGTATAAGAATTTTGGGAGAAGAAAGGAAAATCTTCATGCAAAAAGAATTTTCCGCCTGAAATTTCTCTTCTTCACCTCCCCCCCTTTAATTTCCTCTATTAATTCCTTTCAAAAGAAATTTATATTCCCCCTTTTCAATCAAATCTTTTTTTTTTCTCCTTCAAAATCTCTCAATTTTCTTTTACTTTTTATCTCCTTCTTTTGTTTTTGTTATCTCTTTTTAAAACTTTAATTTTATTACTGCCATTTTATAATGGTTGTATTCTATATTTTTTAATTTTTCCTTACTATAGTTTTTTGGACGAAAAAAAATATAATATTTGAACCTGGATTATTGTACCTCTATTTTTTATTTACTGTCTTCAGACGGACAACACTAGAAACACTGGCTCACACAAAAAGACAATTTATCTCACACGATAAGACAATTTATCACTTCAAAACTTTTTTCCTTACACAGCTCTGACAAAAACTATTTCAAATAATGATGCTTTTGATGATCCATGCATGATGAGACTCGTGACCTAAGAAGTATGGACACTTCGTAGAAGGTTCCATGTCCGTGTCCGACTCCGTGTCGGATACTGACACTTCATGCACACGTGTCCGACACTTCATTACCGCATCCATGACTTAAAAATAATTTTTATTACTTCAGACACTTGACCGACACATCTCAGACACTCAGGATACTTGACCAACACATCCTCCACTATTTGTCTTGTATAAAACTGTCACGGTATGTGTGAACAAAAATATAATTTATAATGGCAAGATAGGACAGTAATATCATATATAATATAATATATTTCTTTTTTATATTTGAATAACTTCATCTTCTAACTTATGGAACTTTAGTATAGAAATTATAAATTAATTAAAGTTTTAGAATTATTGTACTCAATAGATATATAAATGAATACTTATATTTATATTAGCCTTGTCCACGCCGTGTTTGTGTCCTACTATTTTAGAATTTGATGTGTCGGCGCATCCATTTTGTGTCGTATCCGTGTCCATGTCAGTGTCCATGCTTCTTAGCTCGTGACCAAAGACACAGAGACGCCACTTTTGAGAATTGGAACACAGTTTTGACAGGACTAACTAAAAGAACCTACTTAAAGAGAAGTTTCACCTAGTAGGCAAGGGGCGTAAGTGCAGCATATCAAAGATCATTCCTGAGTAGACCAGAGAAAAAAACAAGGCTGCATAGATGGAAGCCATGTTGAGGAACAATGGAATCCATTAATAAATGCATCAATTTCGGGCTAAAGGGGGGGGGACACATGAGAAATAGTGCCTTTTAACTGTTAACACAGTTTGTTGCTAACCAAATGAAGCAAATCAAGTTTTCTGTTGTACTGAACGGTATTGTTTGCAAGAGCATTTAACATAGAACGCAGGAAAAGCAAAAATATTAGTCAAGCATAATCAGATACTAGCACACAGCTTCTATTTGGAAGATCTAATATCTACCTCAGTCAATCCAACCATACTAATTTCAGGATGAGTGAAACAAGCTGCTGGGATGCTCAAATGATTGAGCACGTGATCTTTTCCGCTAACTTGTTCAACAACTACATAAAGAGAGCTATGTGAAATATGAGTAAACGAAATGTTGAAATTGAAATAGTAAATGATGAGGTTGTAGCTTACCTGAAATTCCTTGTGCACTTGCCGCATGAGCAAGCATCATTTTTCCATTTGCATCACCAATGCAGTATAAGTGAGGAACCTAATAATAGAAATTCCATGTCAGGAACACTTGGCTAGAACCATCCAGAAAAGATACACTCATAATGGAATTTAAAACGAACCAGATTTCCCTCTGCATCAATCACTTGCATGCGCTCATCAACAGGAACAAAACCACGTTCTGTTGCAACATTGATCTGCAGAAAAACGATTGATATAATGGGTGATATGACCTACATGAGACAGCTTTATACAATCTCATATGTGTAAGAAGACGTACATTCTCCAAGCCAAGACCTTTTGTGAAAGGAGCCCTTCCAGTTGCAATTAATGCTGCATCTACCTACAGCAAATAGAAAAAACAAAGCTTGCCATAATGGGTGAAATGACTACTATAGAATATCTGCATAAGCAGAAAGCATTCGAAAATGACCAGTATCTAAAATTGGGGTTTCCAGAGCCCCTTTTATTTTACTTTTTTGATAAGTAAAATTGTATAAAAGCGCTCAAAAGGGGAGCGCATCCCAAGAGAACTACACAAGGCCAAAAGGGCCTCTAGACTTTCAAAGAGCTTGAAAAATCGACAATCTCCTCTAAAGATCTATAATTTCTCCCTACAACCCAACAAAAAAGAGTGGAACTAATACAGAACTTAAGCATAGAAATAGGATTCTCCTTTCCTTCGAAAGATTTCTTGTTCCTCTCGAGCCAAATACACCACCAGACACACAAAGGCGTAACCCTCCAAACATCCCGGACTTGGGCCCCCACTATACAATCTCTTCACGAGTCCCTTTTATCATTGAGAGGACCTTTGATCTGTTGTGAAAATTAACAGAAAAACAGATCAAACACATAAGCAAGAGCACACAGATTTTACATGGTTCACCCAAAACTTGGAGTTACATCCACGGGTTGCAGCATTCCAGTATTTATCAGGGTCCACACTTCCCATCATGGTCCCATAGAGGAAGGGATACAAGTGAAGACACCAAAGCCTTAAATTTCAAACTACTTAGGGTTGACCACTGAGTCTTTCTTTCTTTTTTTGTGTGTGTGTGAGAGAGAACAATCAGCCTTATCTAGGGTAACCACCTCTGAAACATAGCTTTTCAACTGCCTTGATCCTATGTTCTTTATCCTTCTAATGGTTTCTTAAAACTTAAAATAATCGATGTGCTTAGCACTCATTGACACTCAGACGATCTATGAAATGCTTAGGCCTTAAATTCTTACTGTTTGTGATATTAAACAAGAATCATACTAGAAATTTTGCATGCAGCAATGCATGCCAGCTCTCAAGTGCAGATTCCAAGTTTTGTTAGAAAACCACAGATTATAACAAATCACATGACATGACTAAATTACCTCCAAAGTATCTTTTGGTTCTTTTGTCTTGGCATCAATAAGCTCAATAGTGACTGGTTTCCCATCCTTTGCTGGAGTTATCTGAGGTAAAATAAATAAATAAAATTGAATGCCGTGTATCCATCGAACACAAAATAATAATAATAATAATAATAATAATAATTACCTTGGTTGCGAAAACTCCAGTATGATAGTCAATTTTCCGTGGATTTATTAGAACTCTTTGGGCTAACTTTCCAATCTCAGGATCAAATCCAGGCATAAGCTGGTCTAGAGCTTCAATAAAAGTTACCTATTTTTCAAAAAAAAATGGACACGCTCTTTAGTTTTTTTGGTCAATTTGGCTGACTTCCAAAAACAATTCAAGTTTTCGAAGGCATGTGTGTGTGAGTACCAACTATGAAAATAATAATAATAAAAAAAAAATACAGGCACAAGAAAAAAGTTACAATAACTACTTGCGGTAATTAGCGGTAGGCAAAATACAAAATGCAGCTTAAACTGATTCTAGAGGCAAAGAAGAGACCAAGTAAAAAACTTATGAAAGTGAATTACCTCACCAAGAAGAATGGAACTACGAGTATCAATTGAAGAAATTTTATGTAAGATTTTAGTTGCTAATTGTTAACAAGCTTAAGTTATTGGAGAGGGTGTAATTTTAATATTTAAATCCTCTAACACGCCCCCTGACGTGTAGCCTTCTTTTGGTCCGACATGTGTTTTCAATTTTAGTTATTGGAGTGACTGTGAGATTTGAACTCATGACATTGCATGCTCTGATACCATGTTAACAACCATCTACTGTAAAATCTCAAGCTATTAGAGAGGGTGTAACTTTAACATTTAAATCCTCTTAAAACTAATCACAACAATATTTCATTGCATTTTCACGGACTAGACTTGTAACATTGAAGTTGAACATTGCAGAAACATTTGCTGATCACTCGTGATTGTGTCCAATAAAGTGAATGCGGGGAGGCAGAAAAAATTGGAGTTACAAATATTTACTTATTGTTTAATGATTCCTTGTGTAAATTTTCTTCCTGTTTTATCGATCCAACCTACTCTCTATGTATTAGAAAGTAGTAATATCTCAGGCAAAGAAAAAAAAATGATGCAACAATCAGATGATCTTTAAAAAAACTTGAGGCTTTGAAGTGGTAATACCAGTAAAAGGAGAAAGTAACACATCCAAAAACAATAAATAATGGACAGACCTGCTAATCATATATATGCACTTCTGAAATTCTATTAATTAAGAAGAAAAACCAGAAGAGAAATGCAATTAATAAGGACTCTGGGGCAAATGGACCACTTAATCTTTGATTTTAAACCAGAACAAGGTAGTGTCTTATAATTGTATTAAACTCAAAAGCAAGAAGAAGCTACCTCACTTCCAAGTGCTGTATAAACATCACTGAATTCAAGCCCAATATAGCCACTTCCTACAATAGCTATCCAATCAGGAACAAACTCCAATTTGAGAGCATGATCACTGGTAATTACAGTCTTCCCTGCAGGCAATTACCCAGTGATCAGAATGTTTAATGACCAGAAGAAAGCACAAGATTGCCAAAACCATGTTTCTGATATTATGGATTATGGGATGAGAGGTCATCCATCCAAACATAAGAACCATAACAAGGACGCTGGGTCATTATATACTTTCCAAAACTTAGACCAAAAGCATATTTCCCCAAGTTGTGTTCCGCCCCAATCTCATCATCAAACTTCTGCAGCCAAGTTCTCTTCTCTTACATTGAATATATGATTGCATCCACTATACCCATGGTGGAGGAGAAAATGTGGAATATTTTTATCATTCTCAGTTATATTTTATTCAAATTTTTCTATTCAAATATATCTCTAAAGTCTAAGCGCGTGTTAGACTCTCCTGAAAGCGTAACTGCGGAGGACTTCTCTACTTTCTCCTACCAATTCATTCCTTCAAACACCTTTGAACAACCTACACAACAAGGAAACCCCTATTTATGACTTTATTTAGATGTGCCAAAACTTTAGCCCACATATACCCTCTACAAAATTTTAGGAGATTGATTGAGAAAAAAAACCTAAAACTCATAATCTGCAATCATATTTTGTCACATAGGTTTTAACGTTTCAAATGATCACTTGAGCCCTCCCAACTTACAAATACTGGGCATGCATTTCCAAATTCCAAATGAGTTGAGAAAAAGAAAAAAGAAATAAAAATATCCTAAACGACGCCGCATTTGACAAACTGATTTTTGAATGTTGAGAAGTCAAAAAACCTATTACATTGTCCTGTGTTCATCACACCATTGATGGTGCTGCCTTGTTGGCAGGGATGAACTGTGTACAAATTTAACTTTTGGCATAAAAAAATAAAGAAGAATATATACCGGTCAATGGTAAATAATTACTTGATACAAGTTAATCCCAAGTTAAAAACAGTGTGCATCTCCCTTATTTACCACATTTGGTGCGAGTGAAAGATAAGAACGTTTGGGAATGACTATAAGGATAAAGATAGTACTGTATAAGACAGAGAAAGGGATTGCAAGGAAGATTATCAAGTATTAGTGAAGTATTAGATACATCCTGTGCTTTTACTAAGCCAAAGTCAGTATTTCGTTGTGCGTTGGAAGGATGACTATTGCCAGTGATATATGTGGGTTGCTGCTTCTCTGTGTTGAGTGTGCTACAGTTAATTTAGTGACAGTGTTTGTTGCTTTTTTGGATTCTTGAGGACTTGTGGGTCATTATAATCTGGTTGTTTTGTTGCTGCTGGACCTTGTGGTTTTGTATACTAGTCTTTTCTTTGTCAGGGTTATGCCTCCTCAGGTTCCCCCTACCCATACTTCGGCTTCCCATTGTACATTCCTATAGATTTATCATTTAATTATAAATAAAAAATTACTTAGCACAGCCAATTAAATTGAAAAATAAATGCATCTTTTAAGGGACATTGAATCACGAAGAATAGACACATCAATGGCACCAAAACTGCATTTGATATGTTATACTAGCATTATCCAATCTTGGTCCCACAAATGTGTGGTGCTTGAAGGGGTTGAATGGGTAAAAAAACCTTGTTACCCAATAATTGACCGTGGGGGGGGGGGGGGGGGGGGGGGGGGGGGTGGGTGAATAGGGTCTTTGGCAAACAATGGAATTTAATCGATTCAATTAAAATCTAAGTGAAAGCAATTATACAATTTTATGCTGGATAGAAATTTAAACAATAAGCATAAAATAAATAGATAAGGGATAGAGAAATTGAAAACACTTGACACCAAGATTTTAGCGAGATTCGGAAACTCCTACTCCTCAAGCTCAAGACCCTTCTTGAGACTTCCCAATCCACTAGGCTTCTCCTTTCGGGTGGTAGAGCAAACCGGAACAAGAAGCACACCACTTATCAAATGCTTAGAGAATAACCTTCTTCAAGACTTCCTTTAGGGTTACTTATCAAAAAAAAAAAAAAATGACTTCCTTTAGGGTCACACCAACTCTCGGATTATATCAATCCTAGATACACGATTGTATTGATTTTGTACAATAGATAAAAGTACAGATTTGTAAGCTCACAATAACTCTCCTTTTTGAGATAGATTTACAAATGAAATTCTCACAATAATGACTCTCCATGCTTACACTATAGCTCTTCTATGAATTGAACTTAAAAGGCTCAAGAGATAATGACTTACCAAAAAAAAAGGCTCAAGAGAGAATGAATGCATGAGAACAATTGAATGCTTGAAGTTGGAAGTGTAAGTTGTCTGAATAAGAGTTCTTGGTACGTATTCATAGAGTATGAGAAATATATAAGTCAATGTAGCCATTCAAGATTGTAGACTTTTTGGTTTAAAATGAGCATTTTGTCAATATAGTTGTTTTGTTTGAAAAAGATGGCAAGCTTTTGAATTTGTATCTTAGAAGGCCAAATTTTCAATGGATCCGTTTGAAGCTTAAATGTTGAAGTCAAAAATCGGTGGATATCCAGAATCACAGCTTAAACACTGAAGTCAAATTTTATGGCTATCCGAAACCAGAAACGGTTTTTAACTTCAGATAGTTTTGTCAGATTTTCTGCTAGACTTTCTGCATACCTTATTTCCATTTAAAACATTTAAGTAAATATCTTTACTATTTTTAAAGACGTTTACTTTAACTTTACAATGTAAATAAGGAAGTACCCACCATTTGGATTCAATAAAAAATATAAGAAAATTGAAATCCAACTAAATCAAAATGTAAAACTTCAGTTTTAGTACAAAGTAGGGTTCCCTGACAGTTTTGGTAAAAAAATGATTCTTCATGTAGACCAATGTAAAATTAATAATAAAATCTCATAAAATCAGATATGGCTAATTAATATGAAATGAGTAAATACGGGGAAAAATTACTTTGAAAATATCATTATTTCAAAATTTCATACTTGGCAAGAAAAATAGTTTTTTTCATGAGAAATGCATACAAGGGTCCTAAGGTCATTCTAGGGTAAGGAGCCTAAAGATTCAATCATTAAAGAGCTAGCTTTACAAAAATATCCTAACCATTACGAATGATGCAAGGATTCTTTAGCTTGAGAGTTTGCTTCTTGGTTTGAGTTCCAAATGTCTTCAAAAGCTTCTTCTTTTTTTTCTTTCGGTCCTTTGAGAATGTGAATTTGAATCTATTTCATACTTGATATAAATACATTAGAACAACATAATACAATTTGTTATCATCAAAATATTAGCAACAAGCTTGGGTTGAAACCGTAAGGCTAACAATCTCCCGCTTTTTGATGATGACAAATTAGTATATAAAATTTTAAGAGCTGAACCAAACAGACATTTTAATTTGGATTAAAATTTTGTATAAGAATTTCTCCCCTTTTTGTCATCAGCGACGATGGGGCACAAAAGCTCCCCGTGGTATGCTCCCCCTTTCAAGATTGAGAGAATGCTTCTTGCTATGTTCGAGAAGGAGCAAGTATCAAGAAAGGTTATGGAAGAGGCACCTAGATGATATGTGCTATATCTCTTATGTCATAGACGTATCAGGAAGCGCAGAGAGAGAAACTTGTTATGAGATTTGCGAGTGCAAATCTCAGATACATGATCAGAGATAATCTTGCTTCTGCAAGAAATGAACAGAAATAATCTTACTTCTAAAAGCCATGGTTAAAGATTCTGTTGCTTTTAAGGACATCAAAAGTTGGCTATATGAATCTGGTTGTAATGTTGCATCATCTTTTAGAAGGAAAGTTTGGTTGTTAGTGAAGGTGTGGGATGCAATGGAGAAGATGGGTGAATATATAGAATATTGGGAAGTGAATAAAGACTAATGGTATAAATAGTGTCAAACTACTTTTGACAAATTCATACGAGAAATTCGGAAAGATAACATCGAGTGAACAAGGTGAAACATGAAATTCCAAATATGTTGACAAGTCTTACAGAAGAAATCTTGAAGTTTGAAAATTAAACAAATTTCGAAAATCGAGATAGTTGAAAATTTTGAAATCTGTAGACAAATCTTATTGAAGAAATCAAAAATGGTTATCAGATTGATACCTTTAAATGATCTTCAAAATCTCAACGTGCAAGGCGTGATCAAAGATCCATTTACTTGAGTAAAGTGACATTGCTGAATCTTATCTTCCTTCTCAAACTTCATTTTTTCCTGAAATGGCTTCCTCTTCTCTTTCCAACAACCATTTTGACCTGAATGTGGTACCTGATGTAGAAACAGATGTCTGGCGCCCAGAATTTCTAATATGGACTTGATGTCTAAATTGTCTAGAAAAGAATTAGTCAAAGACCTCCCAAAGACTAAGTATATTAAAGACAAAACTTGTAATGCTTTCCAATTGGACAAACAAGTCAAGACATCCTTTAAAAGTAAAAAGGACATCACTACTACTAGGACTCTTGAATTAATTCATATGGACTTATTTGGACTGAAAAAGTAGCTAGTCTTGGTAGTAAACTCTATGCTTTTGTTATTGTGGATCACTACTCTACATACACTTGGGTCTTCTTACTCACAAAAAATGAGGCTCATACAATCTTCACAAAATTTTGTAGAAGAGTCCAAAACAAAAAAGAATGTAAGATTAAGACCATAAGAAGTGATAGAGGTTGAGAGTTTGAAAACCAAGACAGAGAGAGATTTTGTGATGAAAATGGTTTTAATTATAATCTCTTGGCTCTGAGAACTCCTCAACAAAATGGAGTTGTTGAAAGAAAGAATAGGTTTCTTCAAGAAATGGCTAGAACCATGCTCAATGAGCATAAATTGTCTAAATCATTGTGGGCCGAAGCTGTTAGCACCACATGCTATGTCATAAATAGAGTAATTATTAGAAAAACCATAGACAAAACACACTATGTGTTATGGCATGAGAAGAAGCCCAACATTGGGTACTTCAAAGTTTTTGGGAGTGAATGTTTTGTCTTAAATGATAAAGATAACCTTGGGAAATTTGATGCTAAATCTGATGAAGGTATCTTTCTTGGTTATTCAACTAGAAGCAAAGAAT